CTGAAAGGCATGTGCTCAGGACTGCCTTATTTACTTAATGATAGACCATTAGCAAAGACACCTGTCTCAGAAATTATCAAACAGGTAAATGAAATATATAAGGACCTCATGTAAACATTTCCAAGTTTGACTTGATTGACAGCAAGATTGCCAATATCCTGGTGACCTTGAGTGTGTTCTTACTGTCAGCTGTTCAGAATGCAAAAGCTTAATAGCTACCAAAAAAAAAAGTTTTGAGCTGAGAATTTGTATTGTTTTTTTTAGGAAGCAAGCACTGGAAGTGTAAGTAGTTTTGAAGACTACAGTCTGTGTCCTAGTACACCTATAGAACATGTTTATCGCAGGCAACATTCCAGTTCAAATAATATAGGAGAAGTTGGAATGCACTGGAAGCTTATTCCGATTACAGGTAAGATGGGTTTAACTCTTCTGTTGCCGCAAGTAGTGAATGAAAACATATCCTTAAGGTTTGTATCTTTCATAGATCCCATTCTTGGGTCACATGTTGGTACACAAGCATATATATAGCCTATGCAGTTGTTCTTGATATTTGATTAATACAGAAATCTGCTGGATGAAAACAGATACTGGTGGAGAATACTCCTTTGGGTACATACTGACATAATTTAGAAGTGTGGATGCTTGAGTATTTATCTGGTGAGGTACATAACTGTTTTGATTCAGTGTTTGAAATTGCTAGATTCTGCTGAAAGATTGGACGGGTGGATAATTGCAACTCGCAATCCAGAAAAGTAATGAAAGATGTGTCGTCCTTATAGGAAGTAGTCTACTTATTGTATCGAGCTCTTCTACTGGAAGTGCTTCAAAGTCTTTGTCCTTGTCTGAACATTTAAATCTTAAATAGTCTCACAGAGGAAGCTTTTTGTTCTACTACTTCATGTGTCAACAGTGTCAGGTCGTGGTGGGAGAGCATAAAAGCACAGATTTGAAGGATGTGGAAACTGGGCTGTAGGAATAGTCATCAAGAGCTCTAAATTCAAGGCTACAAATCAAGTTGTCTTATGACTAAACCCAGATAGAATTTGTTAACTGCATTCTCTGAGTAAAAACATACTGATTTCTGATCATGTTCCAGGAATGCTGGAATCGGTCTCTTGAACACTTCTAATATCCATCCAGTTGTGTAGTTCAGCAGCATTTTTTGTTTGTTTGACTGAGGAGGGAGGAGGGCAGGGGAAACACATTTCCCTTCACAGTATTCATAGGCCTTTCAATGAAATGGTTAAGCATCTAAAAACTGCAATAGACTCTGGATGTGGGAGTTCATGCAAGGGTTGATTCATGCAAGTTCATGCAAGGTCAATTGACTGACATGTTGTACAGTCATCTGTGAGACTACAAATCTTAGTAGAAAAAAAATTCTCTGAAGTCTTCTGAGGGGAAGAAGTGCTGTTCTGTAGAGATGGAAGAGATTGATGAGCATCACTGGATTTCTTGAGTTCCTACAAGGTCAGTTCTTCAAATTAGCTCTTGCTGCAGTAAGTGTTGAGTAGCCCTGCAGTATCATCGTGTAAAAGGTGCTATATAAATACCCAGAAACTCTGCAAATGCAAACTGCTGCTGTCCTTCAGGGGCGGCAGGAAGAGTTCAGGAGGATCAGCTGTAAAAACATGAAGATAAACAAACAAGTGAGAAGAATGGGCGGGACAGTTTGCATACGTCATTATGGCCTGAACTACTGAGCAGCTCATATTCTCACCTTGTATTGAATTTTCATCAGAAAATTAGATCAGTAATACGCTATTCAGCAAGTGGACTCAATTTTGTTGAAGTACATCAAGAAGGCTGTAGGAGAGTCAAAAGAGCCTTTAATGTTTTGGGCTACTGGCACTTGATTTTTACTGGGCGTATCTTCCTGTATAGTATCTTCTAGAGAACTTTGCATTTTTTGTTCTAGGGAATTAAGATCAATTCAGTAATATAATTTAAAGGAAGCTTTGTTCTTTTCTGAAAGTGATTGCTTTTTAAATCTGATGGCTGCTCCATGTCTCTCATTTTTGTAGCAAGGTAGCTATAGAAAGGAGTTCAGAGACATCAGTCTTTCTTTTTCATCTCTGCACAATTGCAGGAAGGCAAATGAGCAATCTCTTGGGTTTTACTTTTTAAACAAGAATATGATTTACTTTTGATACATAGATCATGTTCGGCTAAACTTTAAGAACTTCGCTCTTTGTAGTTTTTGACTTCAGAAGTTGGGGGGTTTGTCTTGCTTCTTCTCTGACAACATCAGAAAGTGTTGGAGGAGATAGCTGTTCATAGGTCCTCAACTCATCTGGACTACTTCTGTATCATGTTATTGTTCATTTCTTCATGATTACATAATCTAAACTCTGACAATGGTAAGCAAACTCAAGTCTTATTTTTGAAAGCTAACTTGGGCACATGCGTGTTTTAACAAACCCATCCTAACTCAGTTTTGGTTTGAATTTGAGACTCTTCATTGGCTTTAGACATGAAGTGCAAAAATGGTGTTTGTTCCTGCATATTCTTCCTTCTTTTGCAAAAGAATAGCAATGCATTAACAGACATTCTTAAAAGTGATGGCTTTTGATGACATTCATCTGGGATTTGAAGGAACAGAATGTTCTAGGCTGTCTCTGTCAGGTGGTGATTGAATTTCTGATTTCAAAAACTACCCAAGAATCCTCTTTCTGGAGTCACTGTAGAAAGACCTCTCTTAAACTGTGAAGAATTTGACTCTTAATCTGCAAGGGTAACTACTTCAGCAGCTCTTAAACAGCTGTTCTTTCTAAGATTGTTTTTAGGTACTTCACTTTTTTGTTTCTTGGAAATATCCAGTTACAAGGTATTACCAACAAAGAGTATGTTTGAAATCATAAATCATACTTTAATAGTTGTTGAAGTGTGTGTTTGTTTGTTTATTTGGGTTTTGCTCCTTGCTCATGCTTTTTTTTCTTTTTGTGAAGACTTGTGACCCAAAGGTGTAGATCTGTGAAGGATGCCACCTTCAGAGAATTCTATTTAAATAAGGGTAACTTTAGTTTAAATCATCCCTTTTTTTTTATCCTGTTTTTTACATGTTAGAAAATATTCTGGATTTCATATTCAGCAGTATATCCTTCTGTTTAAATTCTGCTTAACGCTTTTTAATAAAAACCTTTAGTAAAAACAAAGGCTTGTTTTTTAAAACAAAGTTTGTTTCTTTGTGGAAAACTTTAAATAATAACCTTTGAAGAATAACCTAATCGGTTCTTAATCATATGTATCTTGAAAACTTTTTTCCTAATACAATTGTTACAGAAACTTTTCATCAAATCAGGATGAGTGGATTGTATATCAATTTCAATAACCTTAGGATTTTGAATTTAACCTGTATTGGTGCAGATAGGAGAGCCACAGAACAAAATTGCATTGCTAAAAACTGGTATACAACTGATTAGCTGTATTAAAATGTAAGAAGTTATAAAAATAGCCCCAAACTTAAAGCCATAATATAGCTTTTAATCTTCCTACTAAGACTTATAGTACAATATTTCTTGATTACAATAGTGATGTAGCTTGTAAGTCGTGAGCAGCTCAAGAATGAGATACATAATGTTCTTAAGTACTTTGTATCTCAGACGAGCTTAAACTAAGTTTACTCTGCTAACATTGTAATTTGGTACCGAGTTCTTCGAAGTCTTTTAAAATTAATATATTTGTGTATGCCAAAGGTGTAGATCAACACTGAAGGTAGGAAAAAAGATTCAAATAAAATAGAATGGAACTAATTGAAATAACATGATTTATATCTGCATTTAGTGCTTTTAGGGAAGATAAAATGGAACTACATTTCTGGTTTCTCTAACTGTAGTGGCATAAAGTAACTATGACACAATGCTGTCACCTTGAAAAAGGGATCCTGTTAGTGGCAGATGTTTTCCTTTTAGATCTGGATGGACATGATCAAAATAGGGACTGAATATAACTTTTTTAACTGGCTACAAAAACAACTGCGTTCCAAAAGAACACTAACTTTTAGCTTTTAGAAATGGTTTATACTATTTTGGTTATTGCTTCTGTTCCAGAAATCTGGTTTTGTGTTTACAACTGTATTAGCTTTAACAATAATACACCACTTAAAACCCCAAAACCTCAAACAAAACCAATGAAGAAAACCTCCTTTGAAATATTTACAGAACAGATGTATACTGAAGTACCTGTATGTATCTGAAATATCTGTGTATATATATCATTAATTGCAACAAAGTGTTAAATTCAGTCTAAAACCAAACAAAACCATAGTTTTGAATGTGGGTGGTGAAGAAAGTGAGTGCTGCAGAAATGATACATGGTTTGGATTATGAGAGGCTTTCAGCACTCCTTGCAGCATGACTGAGTCTGTGTATCAGTAATTACCATAAGACTCATGTCCTACCTTTTTAAGCAAAAAACCTTCTGGTTTTAATTGCAAGATCAGACATGCAACCTGCAATTTGCGGTCTAACTCCACGAGGTAGCGTGTGGCTAAAACAAGCCTTTTTGAAAGTCTGAGGATTACAATCTAGTAGCAAATGAAAACATTTGAATAATTTGTCAACCTGCTTGATTTCTAATTCGATTTTTTTTTTCTTTAATTAAGGCAGTTCCTGTTACGCTTAATCAGATGTTATCTCTGGAAAAAATTACTTGTGTTCTGCTTTTTGTGCAAACTTTGACTTTATAGTTCTAACATCTTAGGAGCCATTAAATTTTCTCTGCTTCTGTACCTCAGCAGACAGTAACGCTTGAGTCTTTGGATTTAAGTTGATTGGCAGGGGGAGGCACAACAGTAATGCTGCTTTAAAACTGTGTTTTGGAGGTTTTAGTGTATCAGTTGTGTATGACTATCAAACATGAGATGATGATGATTAACTCTTCCTACGTAGGTCTGAAATCACCAGAAGAACCACTGGTGTATTTACCACCAAAGGATGCCTTTCCTAATGACCCCCGCGTAATAAATAGACAGAGAAGTTCTGATTATCAGTTTCCGTACTCTCCATTTTCAGACATACAAAAGGGGACAGCAGAAGATGGACTTTATACAAGACAAGTGAAGAAACTTGAAGATCAGTGTGGGCTAGCAGACCACCCTTTCACAACTAAGCATTCCATTAGCGCAGTAATAGAGACTACACTATTAGAAGAATATAATCTCTTTGCAAGAAAGATTCAAGAAATTTTGCAGCAAAAGAATATTGCCTATGTTAGTGGTATGTCCACACCAGTCTTCTCTGCCCGAGAGAGGATAATGAGACTTTCTGAGTACATATGTTTACAGGCATCAGAGGTTTCTGTCCAAGAATATATAGAGACACTGAGTGAAAAGCTGAATAGCGTTATTCTGTCGTCTTCATGCACTAGGCATACTCCACCAATTTATTGTAGTCCTGAATCAGCAGAAGTCATTAGTAATGCTGCACTGAATCCTCCACCTGACACGTTACCTGTTTGCAGGGACTCTGACACGGCATTATCATCAGAGCCATTGTGTAATAATGTCGTGGAAGATCTGGATTCTAATGAGCAGCGTTCATCAAGCTTCCCCTTAGTGAAGGAGGAAATAGATCATGTGAACGCTAAAACAGAGGATATGTTGACATCTGATCAGACCTCTTCCAGTGGTGATCTGATGGAGCTAGCAGAAAAGACACAGAAATCCCCAGACAACTTAAACATTTCAACCCAACCAGCCCTTTCTGATTTTATAAGCCAGTTAAAACCTGAAGTTTTTAACAGTTTGGTCAAAATTATTAAAGATGTACAGAAAAACACTGTGAAATTTTACATTCATGAAGAGGAGGAAAGCAACCTCTGCAAAGAAATCAAGGTAACTATGTTCCAGTTCAGCCTCTCTACAGTGTTAGAATAGAGTGTCTTTTAAATCAGCATGTATAAAACTGGGCTTGGAAACATCAGGTAGTCTGAAACTTGTTTCAGAAAAGGTTCAGTTGTGAAAGTGAATTGTGAAAGTAGGCTGTGCTGTCCCCCTTCCTTGTTTGACCTTCTGAGGTAGTCTTGTGTATACTTAGGTTTCATGTCACTCTCCTTCTCATCATTGGAAAGCAGAACAGCTGAAGTTTGGTTCTTTCTGAAGGTACTGCCAAGGGGGTAGCCTTACAGAAAAAAGGTAACAAGGGCAAAAATGTGATAGCTTACCATTTTAGAAAGAATACAAGGGAAGTCAATCTGTGTGGGTTTGGGTTTTTGCCCTTCCTCTCCAGTTAACAGTACAAGTAACTTTTGGAGCTTACTGTTTTTCTATATTTAAATGTATAAGATGAAAGTTGAAAGTGAAGTATTAAAAACTTCTGACTTTACTTGAAAACTCAGGCAGTTTTGATAGACTATCAGTTGGCCATTTCTGTGCAGTTCTGGAAGAATGACTGACTTGCTGAAACAGCCTATTTCTGTGTTGCCACATCTTTCCAATTAATGTGTCGCAAAGACAATAAAACCAGTCTGAGTGGAAAACTTATTTGACACGGTCATCATGTGGGAATTGTTTCGGCCGAACTACCTATTCACTTTTTCTTTACCATCTTCTCTTTCTGTGGCGTTAGGAATACCTTACGAAGTTAGGTAACACAGAGTGCCATCCGCAACAGTTCCTTAAAAGAAGAGCTGCTTTAGATAAACTGTTGATAATTATCCAAAATGAAGACATCGCCAACCTCATCCATAAGGTATTTCACCTAAGTAAATGTGTACTATAGAAAGCTATTGTTAAAACATAGTGAGACAAGCTCATTTTGAGCAAGGCTACGTTCTTATAACAACATAGCATTTAAACGATGTCCTGTGTTTAGTTGCTGTTTGAAGAAACAAAAGTAGCTGTGGTAAATAAATACCTTGTCTTGTTCCATCATATGCCCGCAACTTCTTCCAGCTCCACATACGTGGTAATTCTTAGTAAATGCAAAGTTGTACAGAGGCCTGAGTAGTTCTGCTTCTAGTTCGGTGATGCTGTAATGGCAAGTGAAGGCAGCTGTCAGAGTACCTTAGGTATTCCTGACAGCTGTGGTTTATGAACCTGTGCTGGACAGAAAGTCAAATTATTCTAAGTGCTCGACTTCCATTGTCTCATTCCTGTAATGTTTTTGAGAGCGCTACCTCCCAAGCTAAGAGGAAAAAGTAATAAATCTTTAAAAATGTGAAGTTTGATATTTGGTATTAGTGAGTAGAAAAGTTCTGTAGTTCTTTCTTTTTTTTTTTTTTTTTTTTTTTTGTATGATCTTTGGTATACATATCTGATTGATAATGTTTTTAAACAGATACCTGGCTTAGTAACTTTGAAGAGGCTTTCTTGTGTCAGCTTTGCGGGTGTTGATAGTTTGGACGATGTGAAAAATCACACCTACAATGAATTGTTTGTGTCTGGTGGTTTTGTTGTATCAGATGAATCTGTCCTTAATCCAGAGTCCATCACTACAGGTAAGCATGATGCTTTCTGAAGCTTTAAAACACAGACAAAAAAAAGCCTAAGTTGAGTGTATGAGAGATGCCATACTCGTTGCAGTGAAGAACCAAGTCTTCTAATTTTTAAGTCGTCTGTCTAATTTTTGTGAGGTTTTTTGGAGAACTTCAGCTAATTCAGTCTCTTTTTTTCCTGGGGAACATGTGAACTTGGAGATCTTGTCTTTCTAAGTTTGTGTTAGACTGTAGTTATATATATGGAACCTTTTATTCCTTACTACTCAATCCACAAATATGCTAGGGAAAAAAAAAATTTAAAACTACATTTTTTTCACTTTTTATTTGAAATTGAATTGTTAACGAAGTCACCAGTGTTTTAAATAGATATTTTAGGAAGGCAGAGCATGCATGACTGAATTCAGCTTTTGCGTAACCAGATACTACTGTTAGGCATCTGACCTACAAAAAAGCAGCTCAGCTTTGGAATGTTGTTCGCTAATCTGCTAGGAAGAAAACCTAAAGTTACTAGGCTGATACTCATAGTTGTGTAACTATACTTCAATGAAAATGGAAAGAAGCTTTATGTATATACTGAAGCAGTATTTTCAGTTTGCATACCACAAAATTTAACTTCTATTCCATATCTCCAAAACAGATAAACTAAACCAGTTCTTAAAGTTTCTGGAGGATCTCAATACCCCAGATGGGAAATGGCAGTGGAAAGTCCACTGCAAAATACAAAAAAAACTTAAGGAGCTGGGGAGGTAAGTAGTGTTCTTCAAGTACCAGTTGTAAAAATGCTTCAGCTTTATTAATGCTCTCCAAAACTCAATTAAGCACAACTTACTCTCATGTTTGTTTTTTGACTTAATTTTTAGACTGACCTTAAATCAAGGATCTTTCTAATAGTGTGCTTTTTTTTCCATTACAGAATGAATGCTAATGCCCTGAGTCTGCTGACCCTTCTGAATACCTATCAAAAGCAGCACTTGGTTGAGATTCTGTCTTACCATAATTGTGATTCTCAGTCTCGAAATGCTCCAGAATTAGACTGTCTTATCAGACTTCAGGCTCAAAACATACAACAGAGACACGTTGTCTTCTTAACAGGTAAAACCAAAACTTAGGAATATTTCTCTCAGTCTTTTGGTAATAGGTGCTAAATACTAATATAAAAATCTCCCTTTATGTATTTAGAAAAGAATCTCAAAACTCTTTCAAATTATGTTGATAATGGAATAGTGGTTGCTACTGTTGATGACTTCATGCAAAATTTTAAAAGTCTCGTTGGGTATCACAACTCGGTTACTGAAGAAAACAGCCTTCTTCCCTCTGATGCTCACAAAAGACAATCAGGTAATATTAAACACACTCATACTTTACCTAATTAGATGTGTGGGGTGGAGGTGCTTGAGACAGTGTGCCTTTACTCTTGTAAATGAACACTACAGATGGCAAGGAAAACCCAACTCTCAAGCTACTCTTTTTCTGTTTTACATGATGGGGGGAAAAGCAGCTGGGATGGAGTACCAAAGGTGATCTTGAGTACAGAATTCTAGGCTAACATGGTATTTAAGAAAGTTGGCATATGCCAAAGTGGTGTACCTGTCTGTTCTCAGGAAAAGGATAAACTTGTAAGAAAAGGACTGAGATGTCAGTAATTGTACTCCTTTAATTGTCTGATCAAATACTCACCTACTGTATAACTTTAGATGCTGTTTTGACATTAACCCCTTTGGAGCTGGGAGTTGGGATTTCCCAACACTAAACACGAACACAATGCACAGAAGCTTTTAGCATCGGAATAACTGGACACTCACACAGAGGGTTAAGTGTGTATGTTGAGTAAGTGAACAAGAGTGGCAGAAGACCAAGACTTAAGTGATATTGGACTTGCAGACCTGAAGCATAACACTCTGTGAGTAGCGTATAGTTTTTCTAACAAAAGTTTGTATTTCAATAGAATAGGACTTTCTCTTTTTTCTTAATGTAGTTCTTGTAGAAAACGATGAAAAGGATGAGGAGGACATGTCTCTGGATTCAGGGGATGAAACATCACAAATAGAAGTCTGCAATGATGCCCCTAAGTATGATACTCATTTGGAAGCTTTGCAGACAGAGGCCAAGGGCTCGCATGGGGTAGATGCAAAAGAAAGCTGCTTATCAGTTACAGAGTTATCTCCTGAAGCACAAACTGGCTTGATGGAAGAGACTTCTAAAATTGACTTGGAAGAGATACAGCCAATTACTCCAGTTTCTACAACATGCTCTGCTGAAGGGGAAAAACACAATTCAGTTCAACAAGCTCCTTTCAGTAACTTCCAAGTTTATAGCAGACAATTAAACATGTCCCATCAATTCAGTCACTTTAATGTACTCACCCATCAGACTTTTCTGGGAACAACATACCCCATTTCTTCTGCAAGTCAGAACCAAGAAGGGGGCAATTATTTTCTATCTGCTTACAGTCAGAGCATGGATACAGAAAAGTCATCATCGCCTGGTGGTTGGGATATAAGTTGTGATTCTTCCAGGCCATATTCAAACCAGAAATAAACTCCTGAGTCTCTTTGTATAAGTAGCTGTGGACTTTTCTGTTTCTGAAATGGTGGATTAACAATTTCTATTTTATTCTGGAACAAAATGTTTCTTGTCCTTTATCTCAAATGTTTTCTTGTCTTATTTAAATCCTGATGGCCTGTACCTATTGGAAGCATCTGAAAATTGAAATAAATATATATATTTTTTAACATTTACTGTACTGGAATTATCTTGTTTGTTGGCACTTTTAAGTTTCTACATTTGTATTTGACCTGTACCGGGGCTTCAGTTTGAGGTCTGTTTTAATGTAAAACTGAATGTTTGCCTAAAATATGTGAAAGAGAGCGGTTTTTTCAACTGTAAAAGTATCCGAATCACTTTTCTTTACATAAATATCAAAACTTATGTATTTATTTGACATTTGACACAAATTTTGTAAAAATGTTTTTACATAGCTCTAAGGCAGTGTAGTTATTTTAATGAGTATATACTGGATTTTGGCTAAATACCTCAGTTAGAAGTGCACCATTGGTTACTCTATTACAAAAATAAAATAAACTTGTAATGCACAAGGGACTTGGTAACACATTGCATAAAAGTGTATAAAAGTCTGTCACTTTTATATTGTTTTCAAAGTATGTGAGAAACATGCTGAAACTTTTATTTCATGAATAGCAATTAGTTTTGCATCTGATTTTGATACTCCATGCTTATTACAGATCTTGTAACTTTTATCTAGTTGGAGATGTCCCTGCTCACTGCAGGGGGGTTGGACTAGATGACCTCTAAAGGTCCCTTCCAGCCCAAATGATTCTATGATTCTATGATCTTGCCCTTGTAATTACTGTAATGAGAGAAGGACAAAGCTGGTTTTAATGACTGTGGTAGTTCAGTTTGCATTAGAAAAAAAACTCGGTCCTCTCCCCCTTCAGCGTAATGATCACTGCTGGTTTGGTTTTTTTGTGTGGGTTTTTTTTTGTTTGGTGTTTGTTTGTTTGTTTTTTAAATTAGCATAAAAAGGGTAGCTTTAAAAAAAACAACCCACAAGCAGCCAACCGCCTAGACTTTTCCCTAAAGTTTAATATCTTTCCTTCTATTAACAGTTGTTTGATTTATTCATTTAAATTATGAACAAACCAGTACTAAACTAGTGTAGCAGTTGTTACCCTCCCACCAAACATGGCAAATAAATAATCTTTTTTCAAAAAAGAAAAAACCTCCTTTGTATCAATAAACCTTAACAGATTTTGTGAAGAACTGTTCTACCACCTCTGACACAGGTGCAGGTTCTCCCCTATTGCATGACTTGGCATACAAATGAGAGGAAAGGGTGCACCTCGTTCCCTTTGCGTTGGCTGTCGGGTCCCTGCAGATTCAGGTGATGTCTGAGAACAGCTGCTGCTGGGAGGAGTCTCGGTGTGCAGGTTCTGTGGCATTGATCCCATTGTATCACAGAACAACTAAAGGGAATTCAGGCTATGTATCTTCTGCAGAGATTAGAAGATAAACAGTTTTACCCCAGATTATCCTATTTTTTGAAGACTAAAAGCGAATTAATCTGAAGCAAACATTAAATTCTGAGTGGATGCATCTGATCAGACCGTGTTTGTAAGAAAACTTCCTTAAACTGAGTTCTACTGCCTTAGGCCGAAGCCACTATAATGTTAAGTGCTGCTATCCTGTTTTAATTGATGGGGGGAAAGTTGATAATCAGCACTTCCGTGGTCTTAAAATCTGGGATTACTTAAATTAACATACATCATCTAAGCCTAAAAGCTGTCTGAAAGTTAAGTACAAGCAGTTTCATGTAGTTAAAAATACCAACAAAGTCTACCCGAGCCACTCAGAATACATCTTCATCCTTTTATTTATCAAAATAAATACACTGAAGTCTACAAAAACCCATGTAACGTTTTTATACTGTGTTTTGGTGGTTTGTATTAAATGGACATAGGTCTTCAGGTAGCATGAAGGCCATTCTAAATAGACACACCATCATTAGTTTAATGTATCTTCAAAAGCAACATGACCCTGTAATCTATCAAAATTCACATAATTTAAATATTTCATAAAAAAGAGATGGTTCATAATTAATTACAGTAGCAAAGTGCTGTGCGTTTACATTGTAAGAATTCAGAATGTTCATATCTACCTCTCAGAATGGTGAAATAAAGTTCTCTTCTTGAGCTATAGCAGGAATCAGAGCAGTTTCCAACTCCTTCTGCTTCCGCAGGAGGCCCTGAAATAAAGGGAATATAAATTTGGATGTTGTGTCTTCCTCGTGCAGCCTGAACTAATAAAAGTGTCACTGTTTCATATTTTAAAGCAATTCACTTGTTAATGTTTTTTAAAAATACAACTTAAAAATAAGCAGTACAACATAATACATTCAGTAGAGAAGGAACTCAAGATTTCCTGTCTTCTGCAAAAGACTTGAAGTGTGACTGAAGTGGAAGCCAGTCCAGTTTCCAGGGATGATTGTGCAGAGGAAAAAGGACTTTTCCATTGTATTAAATTTAACTTGCTCATTCCTCTGTGCATTGTCACTACATTTGTAGTATCCTAGCGTATTCTTGTATGAAGCTGAACCCAAAACCTTGACAGGTGCCAGCTTTTAGGCTCAACATAAATTACACTCTAAGATGAAAAGGACAGCGTTACCATTTGATCTAGAACACTGTCAGATATTTTAGGATATGCATATTTACTCTCAAAAAGTATAAGGTTGCTGTTTTGTTAATGGCTCTCATAAGTACTAGATGATGGAGAAAACTTGTAATAAAAAAACTCCTGGAAGTGTATCCTTGTCTATGCTATAAATAATACATGATATAGCTACATCAGGTACATTCATAAATTTAAAATAAGTCTTTTTACTGTAATTAATGTGATGATTGTATATATTGATACATCTGGCCCTTTGGTTTCTATCCATTTTAGACCTGTCAGAAGTAATTTGGTACCAAGGAAGTTTGTTCAAAAGAAAAAAAAATAAAGGGAAAAATTACAATGGTATTTCTCCTTAGAGTTACAAGACCCTTCTCAAAGATAAGGGTTGTAGGCTCCTGGCACAGCTCAGTATAGACCTAACGCAAGCCAGCAGGCACTACAACTTAGACACAGACTTCCTGGTGGCACAGAAGGGGTGAGGGGTCCTGCAGAACTGGCTTCAGTGAGCAAAGCAGCCTGTTGTTAGACTACACTTTGCATCCTTCCAAAAGCAGCAGCTGCCTACTTTCAATCAATCGAGGAATTGCTTTTTAACTAATCAACAGTATCTGCTGTTTCTACTAATGGGTCAGGGGACTTGTTCAGTCCCTTTGTCAATAATTACTTTATTATTATAGAGTGTTTTTTGCATTTAATAGCATGTTACAAAACAAAAAGTCATGCAATAAATTGCCCTAAATCAACCCACAGCTGAGGTGAGTAACACTGAAAACTGGAACAAAATCTATCACATGGTTTGCAAAGGTAATAAAAAGGGCCTAGAGAAAAGTAATGTGAAATATCTACATAGGGACAAGTAGTGAGGTCTTTGCATGTCCTTGGTCAGCCCACTGGTGGCTGGCAAGGTCACTTAGCCACTGTAGGCTGCAACCTGTTGGCAAGTGGTTTTCTTGCCTTTTAGTAAAAATAAGATGCTCTGGCATGTACTGACTGTAGCTAAGGGTTTTCTCCTTTTTCTTAAACTTTGGCCCTTCTTTTTCACAAATACTTAATTTACTTTGCTGGATGAATAAACTTGGGCTTCCTCCACTGACTCACTGATTGCAGTGAGGAAAATAAAAGTCTGTTGACAGTTCCTATTACTGCTGTCACCTGAAATACAGGAAGAGACTTGCCATCTTGTAACAAATGCAATGACAGAATCCCCCTCCTTTTGGCAGAGGAAGACCCTCACCTGCCCTCTGTTTTCACTGGTGTCTTCCATGGTCAGCCAGTTCAGCTAGACTGTTAGTGAAACAGCCTGATTATATTTATCTATCACTCTAGTTGGGGGTGTATTTCAAAGGCTAAAGACTGGTCAAATATGCTGTGAGTTCCCCCAGACAAAAGGCAGCTAAAGAATGGCCAAATATGTTGTGAATACAGATATATGCTGAAACTATCAATCATATATATATATATATGCATGTATATACAAATTTAAAAAAACAAGACTTGATTATCTTTGGAAATAGAAAAGTCAGCTCTGCTCTTTGTCTAAATTATATTTCAAGCAAAATACTGCATTACTTTTAATTTCTCAGTGAAATAACTGGTGCAAAACAGGTGTCACATGTAGGAGTATACAATACTTAGGTATACAAGATACACCCAAGTTTGACTGTTAATGGTCTAAATGCATTCTGCAGCTTGTAGACTATTTAGAAAAGCACTCTACATGTTTTAAGTTAACTCTTTTCCAAAACCAAAGTCCATTGAAAGACTAACCTTAATATTAGCTTTTAGCCATTGTTAAGATCTGAATATATACTAAAATGTCCCTAAGCTCCTGTCTCTTAAGTTTGCCAGCATGGATATTATCACCTTAAACCTCTTTAAATATCCATGGCTTCTGTGCACTTCAGCAAGCACAAGGATCAAATTGTGCTTTGAAGCTGCCTTCCCTCTTAACCAAAATACCACTGACAGATGAAGCCTGAAAACAAAATACTTAACAGTTGTAGGTATTTAGCAAAAATATTAATAAGCATTGGGGAAGACCACATCCAGTCAAACCTATCTGGAAGCCATTAGAAACTGGCAACCTTTCAGTGTTCTTGCACCACAGCTTTTCTTAATAACTTGAGGAGAGCCATGACCATTCAATTGCACAAGGAATTTACCTACTACTGAAACACAAAGTATGCATGGCATTAACTATTGGCAGTTCTGTTGTACTTAAGTCTATCAGATTTTCTTGCCTTTATTTTGTCATTTATGAACTTCTTCTCCCTTAAGGCAAAGAAAAATGAATAGTGCTGCTAGGAACAAACCACTTTTAGTATGGAGACATTCAAAAACAAGGGAAGGTACTGACACATGTTTATCTTCAGTGTTCTTCAAAACCAAAATGCAAACCTAAAAGTAAACATGTCTTTTTTGTCTTGCAGTCTCCTGTCAGGCCATTTAGAAGCATAAAAGGAAACTGTCCGTGTGACGCTCCAGACCTGTGGTTTGAATCTGCTATGGGCCACACCTTGTTGCCAACAGGTGGAGTATCAAATTCACTCTTATTTTAATAACTAGATGCCTAACAGTATTTTTCCTGGTATTCTGACTCCAGTCAGGAAAATATTTAACTTCATAGCTACCAGCTATAACCTTCAGTGCTTCTTTAATCTACTGCAACATGGATCCTTAAAGGCAGTCTCACCATATTCAAAATCGTTCTGGCAATCCTGTACATCTAATCACTTCCAGTAACTTACCACAAACAGAACAATGTATACAAACATACACAGGCTTTTGTCTCAGGAGCTTGTTTGCGTGTGTAGTATTAAACTAAATTTCATTTTATATTCACTCACTAAACCTGGCTGATTGACCAATCCTGAATTTTACTTTTACATGTTAACGAATACTATCTTGGAAGGATTTTGTAAGTGTTTGCACTTCAAATTTAGAGTTACAGTATTTTTCCAGGACTGACATATGAGTATCATTCACCCCACTAACTCTTCTGCACCAACCACACTGCTCTGTCATGACTGGCTTACCCATAAAATGCCAAAGTGAAATTTCATTAACAAGGGTTCTAGTATTTTATTAAAACACTATTATTTTTCCCCTTGAAACATTCTTACTATAAGCAACCCTAACTATCAAAATCTGGAGACTAAATACAGCCATTCCTCTTGGTTTCCAGTTTTCTCAGGTACTCCACTGTTTCACAGCTAATCTAAGGACTAAAGAGTCCATAGTCTCTCTCTAAGGACACTCCAAAGGTGGAAGTAATGCATGAAAAGCAGAATTAGTAAGATGGAAGAAAAGTAGAGGACAGGGCCCAAAACTTAATGATATATGATGGAAAAATGAATGAAAGACTAATGCTTCTAACTATGTAATAGTCTGCAATGTTAATTTTGACTTTAGTATATATATATACATACATGTTTATCCAATAACTTTTTGCTTACCTGGCGTAATTCTGACAATCCTTTGAGAATTGCTTGTTGTCTCTCTCTGATTTTAACTACATCAGGATTTAGAAGAGGATCTCTAACATGATCAGAGCTAAAAATCTGTTGTGGCGCTTGGTAAGAATCTAAAAGTAAATGTGTATCAAATCAGTTAAAAATACTCTATCAATTTTGTTTTAATTTTGAAGCAGTAGATTTTCACAACTTGTGAAAATCAGGTTTTGGTTGCTATCAGATTATGATCGCTATTTTTAAATCAAGTAAAACAAAGATTCCTAAACCCATATCTATATACAATAATACCAGAGAAGTGCAATCATACTTCATTAAAGGTAAACAGACAAAAAAGACAGATAAAAGAATAAGAAATGTTGCTTCTTTTTTTTTTAATACAGAGTATCATAGGCTTTCTGTACTGTGCCGTGACACACATGGATTACTGCAAAATTCAGTAAAAACAAATACCAAATTGAATAAATTGGAGCACTTTGAACTACATCACTGTAACATTTCTTCTCTTCTACATGAAATCAGTTCACAATATATCTCAGTACCATTAAACTGTCGATACTGTGGGTCTTGTGTTGAAGGTCTAGTCACTGGTGCTTCTGGATCAAGATAATATACTTCACTTGTTCGAACATATGGAATAAATTGTGAAGAGGGAGGTCTTCCAGCTTCTGTAATAGGAGGAAGGGAGCTCCTCTGCTGTGTTTCTGTCTTGCTATTTTTCTCTCTTCTACTATTGTTGTTATGCACTAGGAAATTAGAGGTATGTATCTGTTTTTGTGGTACTTGGTGTAATCTGTTCTTAACTGCTGGAACAGGTGGTGATTCAGATCTGTATGAAAAAATTTTAGGTAAAAAAACCCCAAACAATACTTAAGTAATGCAATTAATTTTCTCAAATAGTAGAGACAAAGAATCCTCAGAGGACTGGACTTTTGTTCATTTACTCTGCTTTTATACCTGCAGGTTGTCTGGTCTTGTGTATTTTTAATAGTAGACAATTAGTTGCATCTAAATTGTTTTAAAAAAATTAAAAATCAGGAAAGAAAAGCATGTATATTTCACTATTAATGTATTCATACATTTCATTAATGCAGAGTATTGACGTACCTTTCTTCAGTCAAATGATTCTTATGTAATTGTTCTTCCTAGGAGAAAACCAAGAAAGTCAAAAGTAAAATAAAAAGCTCCATATTTTTTATATTAAAAGCTGTCATTTTTCAAGACAAGTTTATTCTGAAATTCCAAAAGGACTGTTTGACCTGAGTTCAGGAGAAAGGAATTTATCAAAGACTTGCACCAAAGAGACTTGTAGTGTTTATGAACTAAATTAAACAAATTACAGGAGGATCTGCTCCAACTTTCTGTGTCTTTGGCAGCTCTAAGCACTATCAAAAATACTGTATGTATTTTCCAATGATCTTGGAAAGCTGCATTTATAAACCTGAAAGGTTCAGCCCAAGATAATGATTATTAAAGGAAAGGTGGTGCTTCTAGATATAGTCAGTAGAAGTTTTCTATTTAAATGAAAAATATTATTGTATCCCATGCTTCTTATGGTATCAGACAATGCTTACTTATCTTAAGGACCTGCTTAACATTCATTGCCCCATTTCTCAGGTACAAAATTCTTGAACATTTACCTTTCAATAATGTAAGCACAAAACTCAGATTTACCATTAACCTCAAATAAACCAACAAACTCAGTTTAACAAATGCGTAAATCTTCAAAGATACCTATGTGAACAGTTACGTATTTTCGTATGTGTATGTAGCCACAGTAAACAAATGGCTAAACAGAATTGAAGTGGCCACCTTTTCTACACCAGACTTTTTCTATTGGAAGGTGTGAGAAAGCGAAGTGTTTATGCATACATCCGTATGTACATACATACAGAGAGCAAGCAAGCAAGAGAGAGAGAGAGAGAAGGCATTACTATATTTGATACTATTTTCTTTAAATTATTTTTTTTCCCAGCCACAAGCTATATGATACATATTTACTGCAAATGAGAGGTTATTCCACTAAGAAGGATGCCTTTCTATGATAATAGAGTACATCCTCAGTAATCCATATCCTTTGCTGAAATAAAAATTGTTTTCTTGAACAACAGGTACTTCTATACCTCAACCATCACCACAACATAATGACTGGACAAAAAAGAACAAGTCAGTGATTCTATCCTGCACACTACTTTCAATCAAGCTGTTTACATAATGAATCAATGATAATGAATAAATGAAACAGAATCAACACTTTGGAAGAGTGAAATAACAGTAAAAGCTAAGTCACAAAATCTGAATATATTCTTCTGATCATGATGAATGAAACAATGCTGTAATACCATTCTTCACACAAAGGACAGTAACAGGAAGATTCTTAATGCTTGAGTTACATAACTGAATTCTCATCCAGGCAAAACTGCATGGAACAAGAGTCTTAAGAATACACATCATTGTTGTTAAAGACCAAATAGTTACCTTTCTGACTCTATGTCCCTTACTCTTCGTATTTATTTCTTCGTGAGGTGAAGGAGACCTGCCTGAATAACCACCCTTTTTTGGGCAGAGATTCCCAGGGGTATTTCTTTCTACCAACTGAAGCAGCTCCATTTGTCGTCTTACTTTGTTTTCTTCCCTTTGTTTTTGTAGCTGTTTAGGGTATCTTTCTGATGCTGGAACGTATCTTTTCCCAGGCTTTTTTATGTTCCAGTCAGGTCTTTTGCTATATTTTTCTGAAGGTTTAATTTGTTTTTCTTTTCTTGCATATTGTTCATATAGATCACTGTAAATAGCACCAGTCTCTTTTCCTGAAAGTTTATTTTTATCTATATACTGCATTTCCTTCTGGTATTTTTTGCTGTTAGAGGTTTCTTTATATTCTATGGAAATATCAGGCGATTCGCAACACACAGTTCTTTCCTCAGCTGACTCAGTGTATGCTGAAGTATTAAAGTAATCTAAAAAAAAAAAAAAAAATTAAAATTTAACTCGCGAGTCTAAGCTATTCAAATTACTTATCTGACTTCTATACGCATATCAAGCTACCATTATTAATTTTATTCAAAGATTGGTTGTTACAGTTTTATAATGTTTTTTTATTCTTTTTGATGTGGAAGATCGATAGGACCAGTAGAAGCAAACTCAACTAAGGAGGGAAAAAAGATGGGAGAAAGAAATCAAGTCACTGTAAAGCAAAACTTATGTAAAATGAAACTACCTTAATTTAAAATGCAGATTTCTATTTCTGTCATGTACCAAAAGGTACAGAGGAAAACAGAGCTTCTGTTTAGTTTTTCAGCATGCCGATGCTTTGGTCATATTCACAGCACTACTGGGAATAATTTACTTTCCTAATCCTTGCCTTCCAATGGAAATCTTTTGTTCAATTTTTAAATTACTAACAATCCAGCTTCTTTCTTTACTAAGGGGCATACAGAAAAACATTATTTAATCTGTAAACTCTTCAAATTCACAGTAAAATTTCTACCACCACTGTCAAAACCAAAAATATTAACTGTTGCTTAAGCAAACAGAAATAAAATAAAGCTTCCACTTCACAAGTGATAAGCTACTACATTTCTAAATACAAGGCATAAAGTGACTGTAAGTTTCCACTGAATCTGCTCATTCACACCTCATCTAACAACATTAATAAATGCAGATTAAGTTTGAGCTGGGTTTTTTAACCATGTGTGGTGGTGCATCTCCCCTGCCTCCTTTGAGCCTTACAACGATCTCAGGAATTCCTGTAAGGCCTTCGCCTTTGTGTAACGAGTTGGGCAGTTAAGCGTCCCTTGACCATACCAGGAAAGCTCTCACAGCTAAAGCAGGAATAACACTGATTGTACTGGCATATCCTGTTGCCTGGCCAAGGTTGGGAACAAGAGCTGGAATAACATCCCTTATCCGAACCACAGCTCGAGCAAAACAGCCTTGGAACATCCCTTATCTGAATTGTAGCTCAAGCAAAACACAGTAGCATTGTTGCTGGAATTCTCAAAATTCCAGCAATTAGCAACTCGGATTGGGGCCAGAATGGAAATTTACTAAAGTCAGTCATCTTGTGAACCTATAAACAGCAGTCCTAAGCAAGAACCTCTGAGCTTTCCTGGACTACAGTGGGCTGTGACCAGCATTTCCCTCTGAATGGCGTGCCTCTCAACGCTCACAAACTCTCAAGTTTGCGAAGTTCGGAGGGCTGTTGCCGAAAGCTGACAACGGAGCCTCAGCCAAACCCCTTCATTCCTCGAGACTCAACCCTTGCCCGTTGAGAAATGTCAAGGCATTTGAAGTGAGTATTTCACTGAACTTGAGGGGAATTTTTAACAGGTATACCTATATATATCCCCATATATCTCTCTCTATCTTTTTTGTGTCTCTGTGAGTGTGCATTGATTCAAATACCCTACAACAACTTAAGTCACTGTTATGATTATAGTAAATTCTATTGAATTACTTTATAAATGTTAAATTAGTCAATGATGAAGTACTGTTAAATGAAGAAGTACTGCTAAATCCTACTGCTAACTACCCCACTCCTGGTAGCCTTAGACATAAACCGTTGATCAAGTCTGGACTAGGCGTAGATCCAGCCGCACCTGGACTCCTCTCTGAGACAGAGTTTAGAAAGCAAGAGGGTCTATTCTGAACCTCGTGATTCAGCGGGGGGTCTCCCTTACCCCTTTTCATCTCTGGTCTCTGTGTAAATTATTCTAGCTTGATTCTAACTTGATTTTCTTGTGTATATCCCTTTCCTGTAGTAAGTAATAGAGTGAACCTTGCCATTGAACTTAGCTTTTGTTAAGTTGCACAAATTCATATTTAAACCACTTTTGCTAATACCTCTGAGAGTGATTCTTTCAGCAACCTTAAACCACTCATTCACAACACGGTGTGATACAAAATCAAGATAAAGACTGGAAAGTATTCTATCTAGATGGACCCACAATTCTGTCTGGGTATTTAGCAAGAATTATAGAAAGCTTTTCTGAATATTTGAATGTAAGGTCTTATTTTCTAATGAGTCCAGTTTTCTAATTCCAGAATTATTGACAATGTTTCTGCCAATATTTTCCAGGATTCATTAGGAACCCAGCCCTGCTCGATAGCAAACCATGTTATGTGAACCTGTGAACATTCACACTGAAGACTACTACAAATACATGTTTAAATGCCTAAATAAATTTAGTCCTATATGGCTTGAGACCATGACTCTACGTCAACACTGTATTTCAGAGTGCGTGATTTGAATCTGTTACTGGTAAGTACCAACTATATAGACCTATCATTTATTTAGAAGAATATAGTGATATATTATAATACACCAACATGCCTGTGTCTGTCCAAGTATTTCTTTCTAGTTTTATTCCATTCTGAAAAACAGTGATTTGGCTGAGTTTCACAAATATGTTGTTCTACTGTCTTTCTTGACGTACATCGGAGTAACTAAACTTAAGGGCTGCGTACCTGTCTGTACAGCAGTGTCTTTCCGAGGAGAAGTCTCCTGATCAATGTGACTCTTAATGTCATCAGAAAAATTATGACTTTGATGTGAAGTGCCAGTGTTACAATTTTCAAATTCTGTATCACCTAAAAAGAAGGAAGTAAAATTGTTCAACTTAGTAATGTATGTTCCATTTAAACCATGCTATCAAGTTATCAGACTACTGTGGTTTAGAACTCAAAGCAAGACTGAGAACCTATGATTCAGATCCTTATACTCTCCCCTTTTTCACTGGAAATACAATCGACAGCACACAGGTCTGAATATTCCCTATGCATTCCTGATAACATCTCTATATTTCTTCCTTTATGTAATATAGTAGTTGAAGCCTACTAAAATACAATATTCTCTGTATTAGCTAACACTGATATTTGTGGAAGATAAGTTGAAATGAAACTTGGTTCATGAAACAAAGAAACAATTTCTGACCCAAATGCAGACGGGGGAAAAAAACCCAACAAAACAAAAACCATGAACAACTTGCATGCAAATACCAAAGGAATACACAAAATGAGTATGAAAAGACTTGTACTTGCCACCACCAAGATTCTTCTGAAGTTTTGAAATGTCATGTCCCTTCTGAGCCAAGTCTCGAATGCGCTGTTCTTGTTTTAATCTCTGTGCTAATTCTTGAGCTTTCTGCATCGTCTGATAGAGTTCATTTGTTTTGAGAGTCACAAGTTCCTTTAAAAAAAAAAGTAAATATATGTGATCATGTGTTTTGAGAATAAAATTAATAGGATTATTTAACCCCCATATAATCCTCAAGGTTTACATATATTCTTATTTTGCATAAAGGTTTTTTTTTAAAAAACAAAACCAAAACTAGTTTAGTAGATCCAGTATGTAACATATATCTTTTATAAATTCAGAACCTCTGCTGTGCTAATGAAAGATGTTCAATCCTAGCATTAAAAAAAAGCAAGCATCTAGATCCTCAAAGTTATTTGGATATTTATTTAATTTCTAATAAATTAATCTTTTCCTAAATGCCATCTGATTTCAGCCATCTGTGACTTCCTATACCATGTGGTTTAATGACATAAAAGAAGCCTAAATAAAAATAATCAAAAAACCCACCTTCCTCCTAGTTCCACAGAAAGGAGACAATAGAAGTCTCCCTAACAAAGGCAGAACATCCCTAAATATGAGGGTTAGAGTTTCCAGATTCCACAGGTTCAAGGGGCAGGAGACTGAGCCAAGGAAAATCTCCTTTCCCAACTGCTATTACCATCTCATCCCACTTCCTACTGCATTTGCAGGCGGAAAGAAGAACAACTGATAACATGTTTTGAGGGAGCTGAGCTATTACAGAGGAAAGATGACTTTCCCAATTTTTTAGCAGTTTGCTCTAGCATCTACAGGCAGATGCTATACATTTCCATCCAGAAAATGCAGAAGAATCAGGGATCCATATTTCTGCAGGTTTTAGACAAGGCTGTGTTTTTTGGAATCACCCTGTCTTATGATATCATGGAATTCTGCTACTGTTACAAATATGAAGCAAACAGTAATAGCTGCTTCTGTGCCAAAAGGAAGAATAAAACATCAGGCAAGGCTTTTAACCTTCTACAGAGGTAAGAACATATACAAATGCAAAATTTGTACTTAATAAAGGTGAAAATGTACTTTTGGTTTAACTTTTGTATGAAAGAAGTATGTAAAGCTCAGCAATAGCTACAGAGGAAAAAGCTCTAGAACATGAACAACACGTAAAATTACTTTTCCAGAACATATTCTGAAAAGTCTTTAATCCAGAGTGAAAGCACATCCAGTGAGACAAACTTTATGGTACTGAAGCATCTTAAAAGCACCAAGTTACCAACAATTGGATCACATACTTTGAGTTTGGTTTTATTTTTTACTTAAAATTTGCATTTAAAAATGCATCTTTCTGCATTATTTAAAACTACAATTCCTTTTTTCCAATTCTTATAATTTCTCTTCCTGAAAAAGGTCTTGTCCAAAAAAAGAAAGCTGCCTTAAACCTGTATGGTGTTATAAGCTGATTAATTGACGAAACAATTTTGGTTTCAAATGTCTAAATTTCAGATAGTTTTCATTTTCAAAATTATGAGGTGACACAATTTTGAAGGTGAAGAACAAAAACCATTTTCCTCAAAACCCACTATTATTACAGACTATCTGCACTAAAGAAAATGCAAAACCTCACCTCCTTTTGTTTTTGTTTCAGCATATCTTCTTCAAACTGTTTCTGCATTTGTTCTTTTTCTCGTGCTAGGCGCTGTTCTTCCTCTTGCTCTTGCCATTTTCTCTGCTCTTCCTCCAGTTGTTTCTTCTTCCGTTTTTCTTCTATCTGAGCCATTATTCCTTTCTAGTAGCATCAGAGAAAAAGGAAAATTAAAAGATATAACTATTTATTTCAGACACTTTTGTTTCTTTTAAGTTCTCACAAGAGAACCACCACCCCAATAAAGCAGTTTGAAATACTCAGAGACCAACAGAAGTAGCTTTTTATGTTTTCAAAAATGCTTTTATTTTTCTTGTAAAGAAATGGTCGTCTGATGTTTACCTTACATATTGTAAGCTAGTATTTTGATCTAGCAGAGTAACAGTTTGACCAGAACAGGCTTGTTACATTTATACTAAGACTTCTTTACACTGTGCTTGAGACCTCATCATGGAGATACACATTCAGTTAGAGTGCCACAGAAGTAATGTAAATGACAGTAAAGTAGACAAAAATTTAAAGATACATGAAGTGTTTATCTGTAAATATCAGTCCTCCTGATGACAGTGGAGACAAGAAAAATGCACACAAACCTACTTGAGGTCTGCACTGCATGTTTTTTTGCGGCAAGAATTCAGTTACAGAAATACAGTCGTCTCTGTACAAATACTGAAAGAAAACTGTAGAGTCTAACTGAATGAAATACCGTTAAACATTTAATCTGAAGCATAAAAGTCAAGTCCCTCACTGGATTCTGGTATTAAATCTCATGCTTTTTTCATGAGACAACACTACCTTTCATCCTTTCTTCTCATTAAAACAGTGTTAGACTTTAAAACAAAAGTCCACCTGATGTTCTAACTGTTTCTGCCGCCGCCTGTCTCTCTCTTCAATCTGAGCAGGGTCCAGGAGAGCTGTCATTGAACGGAGGAAACTACGCACAAAGAAACATGTAAATGTTTTTAATCATTAGAAAATAATCCTAAAGCCCTTCTTAATTAGAATCAGCTAGATTTCAAGTAATATTTTCATATTGAGGTTATCCCATTGTATTAATTTACAATTATGAAATTCATTTTACTAAAGAACAAAGTAATTTACTATTTGCAGTACATTTTATTAATGAACAATGGAAGCACTTGTGTCTTTCAGAAGTGAAACAGCAGATATTTCTGAAAAAGAGCAAAAGCCAAATGAGTAAGATCCAAAGATCAGATTTAAAGCTTTTTTTTTTTTTTTTTTAAATTTCTGAGGAGGTATCAGAAATTTACTGGCTGGGAAGATGATTATCCTTACAAAACTCACCTGACTTTTTGATTGTGTTCCAAAGCACTGTTTTTAGCAGCTTTTTCTGCATTTCCCACCTTTAAGGGCTTGACATTGCCTAAAGCTGCAGGTGAAAAAGGGTGAATAAAAGCAGTCAGCTCCTCAGGGCTAGAATGGAGCCAAAACCAATGGAGCTATACATGGAAGCTACTGACAATGCAGAATCAAACCCTGAAACGAGATAGTCTACACCCAAGTTGAAAACAAAACACAACACTCCTGCATGTGAATCATAAAAAGCTTAATTTGTCAGAGAGAATTTACTACTGTGTTAAACACTTTCGTTTTTCTACAGAGATTTCCCCTTGGTTGGTGATAGGGCAGAACTGCAAACTCTTTCAAATTCAAATTCTAATTGGATACATTCAGTCATGCTTGTAGATTAGGGTGACACTTTTCCCATTAGAAAACAAATTAATTTGTTAATGATAATGGCTATCAACTACTGGCAGAATGTGACAAAATCTGTAGCATTAACTCCTAAAATATGAAGCATAACTGAATATATTTATTTATGATAATAGCTATTTAGTTAAGAAGCATTTCTGCAAGAATTTATAGATTATCTTTGCACAAAATTTTGAAATTCAAGAATCTTAATCTGTCTTGGAGACTAATAAAATGATGTACTTTCCAATTTGTAGCAACTGCATGGATGTAGGTAAATTTAAAAGAGCATAAGGAACACAAGGTTTCTTGGCATCTTGAGTGTAATACATTGATCAAACATATATTCTGTATATCATAAGTACCTAATTCCTTCTTCCATTGGGTCTTTCTAAATTCTAGTAAGGCTTTCTCTCCTTCTTTTTCATCCAAGGTACTAAACATGTCAGCAGGTTTCCATGAATCCTTTCTAGAGAAAAGGAGAGGGGAAAAAATAATTTTACCTAAAAAGCAAATCTGTTAATTTTAAAGGTAACTTTTTATTTAGTATTTATAAAGGTTCTTACTGTAATTAAGAACTACAATACAAATCTTTATTGAAGACACATTTTTTTATAGACAATAACACAGATCTACATACAGAACTTTCTGTCCTGGCTGCAGATATGCTTCTTGTTTCCTGCTTGATTCAGAGATAGCTTCATCTGGAACAGATGAAACTTCACAAGCTTTTTGGAGCAATCCTATTATGTTTTCTTCTGATGCCTCATTAGTAGCTGTGGTAGAATATAAATACATAAAAAATATATATAAATATATATATGACCACTAAACTTTCTTCAGCATTTGAGTAAATACTCTGAGAACAGCAGAAACTCACAAATTCCCCATTATTTAACAAAACTGTTTTCAGCCCTGCTTGTATAGTTAAGGCACATAACTTACAAGTCCACAGGGTATTTTAGAATGCTAGACTTACAGTACACACTCATTCTTGGTTAAGAGCTCAGATTTTGGGACTCTACTTAATTGCAGTGTGCCTTATTCTTGGTGGCAAAGAGCTGACCATCTCCATAGGACCACAAACAGGAGTTAGGAGGTAATACAGGAAGATACGCAATAGTTCTTATGCTTCTAAGTGGAAGAATTGGAAAAAAAAATCAAGTACTATTCAATAGTAATATTACAGTTAGGCAAAAAGATACATATACATCTTTGGGCCAGAGGAAAATGGCACTACTGCTCTTGAGACACATAGTAAGACCCACTCCTCACAAAACCAGAAGGGCCTATCTCTTTGAGGTATTGTTTGTTTAGTTTTTTTTAACTCCTAATGGTAATGATACAGTGCAGTTCTACTATGTTTTTTCCCCAAATGTAAAATGGTTCCTTTTATGCATGAAATATTGACAAAATTGCTTGCTGTTTTGCTCTTTAAAGTACTGGAATACAAGCAATCCTTAGTTTTTACTGTTAAATTATCAGATGCTTGGTTCCTAACAGTAACAGGCAATTTCACATCCGTAATAGCAAACGGTATTTTGTCTGAGACCATTAAACATAAGAGTAACATCTCTGCAGCCTGCAAATAAACTTAAATTATGAACTCAAAAGTTTAGCTTTCACATTTTTCTCTGTTTCCATGAAACTAACTTATTCAAGTATTGGTATCTTACCCATTTCTTCTTGCTTTTCATTATGAGTCTCAGAGATGCTTCTAGTTCCTTCTTTTACAGCCATCAAAATCTGTTGAAGCTGTTCTTGTGTTAAACACACGAAACTTCTTAGGTCTTCAGCTGATACACATGGGTTTTGAGGTTTCTGTTTACTTTTTTCAACAACATTAGGATTCTCTGAATCAGGATATCTGTTTGTGTTCTCTCTTTGGAAAATCAAAAAGTGATCTTTAGTTGCGCCTTCATGTGAGGAGTGTTTAGTAACTTGCAGTTTTTCACCTTTTGTCATTGATAAGCTTGACTCACTCCTTGGTTTTGCTAAGTTTTCCTGCCTGATACAAGCATTTTGTGTTGACCTCAGAACATGCCCAGTATGTCTTATTCTCAATGCCTGTTTAGGTGCTCTGGCTTTATTACCCATCTGTTAAAGCAATAAGATTTCACCATATATTAAATAAGGAAATAAAATTGCATGGGTAACAAATGAAAACAAGATTGAAGCAACAAGCAAAATAAGTGTAATTTTTCTTCTCTGTTAGATGAATAGAAACTAACTCAGTATAAATTAATGAAGTATCTTTGAGTTCTAGGAATACCTTGGAAGAGCATACAGCAACTAAATTTGAACATTTAAAAATGACAGTATGAAAAATAACTTTATGTAGCATAACATTTAAAAGAACTAATAAACATTAATTCCTCTTTTCTTTGGTGTTTCTGAAGCCTGGCTTCAAAGAGGTATATGTTTTCACCATACAACTAGTATTATTTCAGTCTTGATTTTTCCACTCTGTACTAAAGTTTTATTCTTTTCAAGGTCCTTGATGTACACTTGTAATCATCTCTTATGTATTAAGACCTTTTGCTGCCTTCTTTCCTTCCTCAACCCACTGCATTCCAGTTCACTCAGAGACAGATAACCTACAC